TATGTTTTTACAAAGCGGATTTAATGTTAATCAAATTGGTTATTCAATTCGTTCAATTTGAAGCGAATTGAATAATAGATTTACAAGTTTATATAAAATATTAACCCTTTTTTGGGGGAGGAACCAGTAGGAGAGGACCGATGGGTCCAATCTTTGAATTTGATCTAGGCTTGATAAAGATAATAGATTCTGCAAAATATGATTCAAATCGGACATTCCTTTCGCCCGATGTTGAATATCGAACATTTTGACCTATTGCGGGGGAGGTACTTGAAGTAGTGGATCAATAAGTCCCATATTTGGACTGGATTTAGACTTGGTAAAGATAATAGGTTGGGCAAAGTTTGATTTACATGGGATAGTTCGTTTGCATGATATTATAAAATTAAGTTTTTGCGCAAATTTTACCATTTTGTAGGGGAAGGTGCCAGAAGGAGTGGACCGATATTCCTCATTATCGAAGTTGGATGAAAATAATACAATAAGCTAAATTTGGATAAAATCGAAGGGAAAATGTAGTTAATGCTTACAAAATAATTAGAATGTCATCGCTACTCTTATATGGATCAAAACATCGTTGAGGAAAATACGTCGTAAACCTTGAAAATATCGAAAATGGTTTCGAATTGTTATATTGGAGCTATACCGAAACGTAAACGGACATTGATAATTTTTGGCAGGAAATTTGCCACCCAATGATAACCCAAAATAACAACCAATTCGCTGGAAACCCCCAAAATACCGAATAATCTGTGGAGTACCATTAAATTGGGTCTGTCCTGAAACTTGGACCCATATTGATAATTTTTGGTATTGATATTTTCTACTCAATGGGAATTCGAAATATATAATTACAGACGATTTGGTTGAAAAGCTCGACTAAATGCCCCAAAATACCAAAATTTGCGAATTACCGTTATATGGGACCTACCCTTGAATGTGCACCAATATGAATATTTTTTGGTAGGAAGATTTTTTTTAGCTAAGGAGAACTTTAAATAGCAAATTACAGCTCATTTTGTTGTAAAACGTACACAAATCGCCCAAAATAACGAAATTTTAGAGGTACCGTTATAGGGGGACTACCCTTAAAAGTGGACCAATATTGCTAATTTTTAGTATTTAGATTTTCTAACTAGGGAGAACCCAAAATAACAAATTACAGCAAATTTGGATGAAAAATGTACCCAAATCCCGCAGAATACCGAAATTCGAAAGGTACCGTTATATCGAAGCTACCCTAAAAAGTAGACCAATATTAATAATTTTTAGTAGGGATATTTCATACACAATGAAAACCCATAATACAAAATTTCAGCTGATTTGGTTGAAAAACGCGCCCAAATCTCTCAGAATATCGAAATTTGGAAGGTACCGTTATATGGGACCTACCCTGAAAAGCGGATCAATATTGATAATATTTTATAGTGAGATTTTATACACAATGATAATCCAAAATATCAAATTACAGCCGATTTGGTTGAAAAAATGTGCCCAAATCCCCAAGAATACCTAAATTTCGGAGGTACTATTATATGGGATCTATCCTAAAAAGTTGGCCAATATTGATATTTTTCTTAGGGAGTTTTTTTTAACCAATGAGAACCCACACTATCAAATTGCAGCTTATTTGGTTGAAGATCGTGTCAAAAGGCTTCAAAATACCGAATATTGGGAGGTACCGTTATATGGGTCCATAACGTAGAACGATGTATTCCATTTTCAATACCAAACATGTTAGGAGTAATAGCAGTGTATATGAATAATTTTAAAGGTCTATCTAAAATCAATCGTGATTTAAAAAGAGGGACTGACAGACAGATACATATGGTTATTCTGAGGAGTGGACCGATGGATTTCATTTTGATCTAGGCTTGGTAAAAATATTACAATGCATAAAGTTTCCAAATTTGATATTCCGTTCGCTTTATTGAAAATTTACAAATTTTTAAATTTTTGACCATTTTGTGGAGAAGTAGTGAACCGATAAGTCCAATCTTCAAACATTATACAGGCTTACTTAAAAAATAAGTTTGAGCAATGTTTGGGTCAAATCGAATGATATTATAAAATCAATTTCACCATTTTGTGGGTGGAGGTATAAGGAGAGTCCTATCTTCGGTATTGTGTGCAGCTGTTCCAATTTGAAAGACCCTGTTCCGAAATGTTGTCTTCTATTGAATTCGTGGCTCGCTTTAACATGCCTTTTGAGCTGAGGCATCCTCATCCAATCTCACAACATTACATAGCCAACGTAGTCGCTGCAGCTCGATAGTCCGAGAATAGATGGCATAGCGACGACGCTATTTACCGTCGACGCAGATCGGCCCATACATTTCTCAAAACTCCAAGAGCTGCCTCATCTGCTTGCGCAAGTACCCATGCTTCAGATCCATACACCTGCACGGGTTGTTTCAGTGTTTTGTAGAGTGTGATCGGGCGCCAGATAGACAGATTGACATTTGTAAATTGATTCCAAAGTCTAAAACGAATTTGACCCAAAGAAACATGGGGTCATAGACCGATATTTCGATGAGGCACAAAGGCAGAGGGTATAAAAATACAATAAAACCCCAATTAAAAAATCGATTTAAAATTTAATGAAATTCATAGGTGGAAATATATTTCTCCTATATAAGCATTCTCAATTGCCATAAAATTTTTCTTTTTCAATAATTCCCCTATTTTGTTCCCTGGGCTATCCTTCCCAATCTCTCCACGTCTTCAATTGTATTGCATTGCATTTTTTGCTGATGTTTTTTTTTTTTGGTACCGCATTACCAATTCCTCTTTATGTCTTCTTTTTTTGAAAATTACTCTTATTTCTTACACCAAACCCTCCCCTTCTTCCCACCCTCCTCTCCACTCCACCCCTTGTCATCCTCATCATTCATACAATCATTTAGCAACAAAACAACAGTTCGGTGGTGGTGTCGTTGCCGGCGTCCTCATAGTCATCGTCGTCGTCGGTATCAATTGCATCGCTCCGTTATAAAAATCAACCTTTTATTTAATTGATTTGCCACACTATGTGGTACATTCAACTTTAATGCAGAGGCAGGGACAGCATGAGCAACAACAACTACAACAAAATACCAATAAAAAACTACATTGGTTTCACATTGCTATTCGAGGTTCGCTTGTGAATTAAAGCAATTTCGGTTTTTGGGGAATTCGGCGGCCAAGTTTTTTTTTTTTGTTTTAAATACGCACAGAAGAACCCGCGCACACAAACACATACACTCCCTTAATAAGACAGCAAGTCTCGCTGTTGGACTCTCCTTGATTCAGAGCCGCCGCCAACAACGACCTCTAATATTCTTAAGGGGTACATGCAGGCCTGGTTCGGTTCATACCTCCGTCCGTCCAATTTGCTATTAAGTTAAAACTTTAGCATAATAAGTTCGTCCATCCGTCCGTCTGCCTTAGTGAATGAGCTTTGTAGTAAATATATTTTGTTTTTTTGGTAGCTTAGTTGTTGTTGCTGCTATTCTGGCTGTTTAATTCTAACCGCAAATTGCAGCAGCATAAACATTTCTGTTAATTGGGTTGAACGTACATGATCTTGGCTCGTTTTATCGTTGTTGCTAGATTTCAGTTTCGGGGTTTTTTTTCGTAAAGCGATTGCTCTTTTTTCTGCTGCTGCTGTTGAGAACCAAAAAGTTCCTTCTGTGTGTGTGCCCAAGAAACAGCAAGACCTCATAGCCAGCCACAGTTCGGAGTGGAGGTACTTCAACTAAAATGTTGCCGTTTTGCCTGCTAATGATGCTTATTCGCGTCATTATGCGATTTTAACTGCGGCCTAAACACTTTCAGTTAAGAAGCCAATTAAAATATTTCTGTGCCACAGTCAGGCCAGCCAGCCATCCAACCAAACGATCACACAACTACTGCAGTCTCTCCGCATGTGCCTGTGTGTCTCCGTGTGTGTGTTGGATTGCATTGAGTGAGTGAGAGCAGTCCGCAAAGAGATGAAGAGGAATTGGTTGTCGCCGTTTGTCGTCATTGCCGTTCTCGTCATCGCCATCCTCGTCATCATCATCGTCTGCTGGAACTGCTATTACAGCTGGATCGCGTTTCCATTATCCCAAACTGTGCCACATGCAGCACAGGCTGAGAATTGTTCTTTCATTCATTGGCTTTGGGTTTTGACTTGATTGTCTTTGCCTCTGAGTGAGTGTGTCGGTGTGTTTGTGTCTCTTTTTGTGATCGATGAGCTGTTGTTTTCAACGAGAACCATTCGTGTGGCTTAGTGACTTTTTTGTTGTTGTTGCTTGTTTGACTTGCATTGATTTTTTGTGGTTATTGTTTTTATTGTCGCTCTTGGCTTCGTATGATGCTGCCGAAAGACAACGGCCAACTCGTTGTCAGGGATGAATTGTTGTTGTGTGCAGGGCACACAGGGGTTTGAGGGAGAATATTTTTAATGATTATTTAAAAATATATAAAATAATAATAAAATAGAATAATTTTAAAAAAATATTTCAGAATATTAAAAAATAAATATATTTGTATATAATTATTTAAGAATATGCTTAAATAAATATTTTGGATAATAAAAAATAAAGACGTTTAAAAAATATATTTTTAAAAATTAAAAAAAAAATATTCTTAAAAAAATTAAAAAAAAAATATTCTTAAAAAAATTAAAAACAAAATATTCTTAAAAAAAATTAAAAAAAAACTTAAAAAAAAACAAATAAACTATATATCTATAATATATACAAAGTAAAAATAGCTTCGAATTCTGAGATTTAGAAAAATAGCGATTTGGTCATAATTCCGTACATATTTCAGATTTGATACATAATTGATCGGAAGACTAAATTTTAGGAGATGGGTTTTAATGGAAAACATATTCTACACTAAATTCTACTATAAGTCGCCGAACAAGAGAAATAGGTAGCTATAAAGTATACAAGTAAAAATCGGTTTTCATTTGAGTATATTAATATATTAAAAAAATTGGTCTTATTGGTTCTTGTTTTAAAAATTGGTACAATATTGTGTACAAGACAACCTTTTAGATGGTTGGTCCAGTTGGAAAAAATATTCTACATCGAATTTCACTATAGGTCACTGAACATGAGAAATCGGTATATATTATAAATAGCAAAAAAATATCGGGGCTAATTTTTGTATATCTAATAAATTGTAATTTCGTAAAATTGAGGCCTTATTTCAGTTTTGTTACAAAATAGTCCACAAGACCTCATTTTTGGTATTTGGTAAAATGGAAAAAATAGTCTACATCGAATTTCACTATATGTCACGGAACAAGGAAAATTTACAGCTATAATGTATATCTGTAAAAATTGTGTTAAATTTGGGTATATATGAAATTGAGTAATTGGGCCATTTTTTTAATGGGTACAAAAGTGCCTACAAGGCTTCGTTTTAGGTGGTTGGTCCTAATGAAAAAAATATTCTACATCGAATTTCTTTACAAGACACTGAGCCATAGAAATCTATAACTGTAATATATCCGTAAAAATAGATTTTAATTGGCGCATATTAAAAATAGTTTCGACGAAATGTATTCTTTTTCGGAATTGGCACCAAAGTACCTACAATATTTCGTTTTAGATGGTTGGTCCCAATGGGAAAAATGCTCCTCACCGAATTTTACTATAAGTCATTGAATAAAAGAAATCGGTAGCTCCAATATATATCAGTAAAAATCGTTATAAATTTTGTTTAAATAAAAATCAATTTGGTCTAAATTGCGTCTTTTTAGAATCGATACAATATCGTGTATAAGGCTTCATTTTATATGGTTGTTCCTAATGAAAGAAATATTCTACATCGAATTTCACTATAGGTCACCAAGCAATAGAAATCTGCATATATAATATATAACAATAAAAATTCGATTTTAGTTTGTGTATATACAAATCATTACAAAGTTGGTCATATATTCTTCCTTGTTTACAATTTAATACAAAATGGAATACAAAACCTTGATTTAGGTGTATGGTCCTAATAGAAAATGTATTCTACATCAAATTTTACTATAAGTCACCGAACAAAAGAAATCTGTAGCTGTAATATATCTTTTGAAAAATCGGCTTTAAGTTGGGTATATTAAGGGGACCCCCCCATTCTCGGGGTCAAAATTTTTGTTGATATAATTCGAACTTACACTGATTAAAGAATGTCCCTACAAAATTTCAAGTGAAAATCTCAAGACGGCTGAAGGGCTTCTCAAACTTTAAACGCGTTTTTCTCTAAAATTTTTTTGCGAATGGCGGGCACGATAACTCAAAAACTAATAATCCAATCGGTTCCAAATTTTGCAACGTTTCTCTGGGACTGTATAGCTCTCGTATGAACTAGGATAAAGCCAATCGGTGAAGATCTTCCTTATTTTTTAACTTGGTTTTTGGTGAAAAATCGGCGATTTTCCAAAAATATTTTTTCAAAGGTCCACCATTTTGTTAATTTTAGAGCGAAGTCAATAATCCTAGTTCATACGAGAGCCAGACATGTACTATTTCTAACACCGTTGGAATTTTCGGATTCCGATGTTCCAGTGAGGAGTTATCATGCCCGCCATTAAAAATGAGGACTTTTCTTTAATTACAAAAAACAACAACAAAACAGCGAAGCGAAGTTACAAACCTCAACAAGCATTGGTCTTGATTTACCAGCCCATTGAAAATCTTGAAAAATTAAAATCGAGAATGGGGGTTTCCCTTAAAAGAAGACACTTTTGGACTAAATTGCTAGGTTTTTAGAATTAGGTCAGAATTGTCAACAAGACTTCGGTTTCGGTGGTTGGTCCTAATGGAAAATATATTCCTCACTAAATTGCACTATATATTACCGAACAGGCGAAATCTGTAGCAACAATATATATCAGGAAAAACATCTGTTCAAACTTCGGAATATGCAAATATAATTCAATTTGGTCTTTATTTCCTTATTATTTCAGATTTGGTACTAAATCGTATACAATACTTAATTCTAGGTGTTTGGTCCTAATAGATAAAATATTCTGCATCGAATTTTACTATAAGTCCCCAAACAAGCGAAATCTGTAGCTATAATATATATCAGGAAAACCATCGCTTCAAACTTCGATATATACAAATATAATTCAATTTGGTCTTTATTTCGTTATTATTTCAGATTTGGTACAAAATCGACCACAAGACTTAATACTGTGTGATTGATGCTAATAGAAAAAATATTCTCCGTCGAATTTTACTATAAGTCCCCAAACAAGAGAAATCTGTAGCTATACTATATATCTGTAAAAATCGGTTATATTTTGAGTATATAAAAATAAGGCGATTATTGGCTAAATTGGAGCTCATTCAGGTTTGTTACAAAATTTATTATAAGTCTTAATTTTAGACGCTTGACCCTAATGAAGAAAATATTCTACATCGAATTTCACTATAAGTCACCGAACAAGAGAAATCGATATCTATGATATTGGCCAATAAAATATTGCTTGCAATTTATTTTTCTCTTCCATCTATTTTTTAATTTGTTTGTATCAATGAATGGTTCGATGTTCGTTTGCATCCCATTTCTGGTTTCGACCATTTTTCCGTCATGAACCTCCTTATCGCTTAGTCGACCACTGTGTTATATATTTTAAATAAATATAAAATATATTGTAACATAGATTATGGAATGGTAGTCGAAGTCTTGGCCCCCTTTTTTCCTAATGAATTCTTATTGGCCTAAATCGTCAGTTTTTTGTTGTTCTTCATTTTATGAGGTGCTGAAAAGTATATATATATGTTTTATGTTCGGAGCTTGCGCGCAAACTCAAATAAATGCAGATGTCAATTAGAGCCTCATTAAAGCCATAAGCGGGCAATAGCAAAAACCCGGCAACAACAAAAAACGCCTCCAGCAAAGGCAGCCAGCAATAAAATTTGGCTGTGGCTTGCCGCCCATTGCAATTGTCGTGGCTAACAAAGAGGAAAAAATGAAAAGAAGAAGGAAAAAATAAACAATGAAAAAGGATGTTCAAAATGAACTTGAAGAAAAAATACGAGGCAACCATTCGTTGGTTTGTTGACTGGTTGGATGGATTGGTTGGTTCGTTCGTTCGTTGGCCGGTTGGCTTGGCTACCTTGTGTTGTGTTTATAGTTTTAATATGCACTGTTTTTTTTTGCCCTGCAAAAAAAGGTTTAAAGGGTATATTGGAAACTGGAGCTAAAACTATGGAATTGCCACAAAAAAGTGATTTGACGACTCAAAATAGTTGCTCCATACTTCAATGGCTGGTTGGTTGGCTTGGCTGCTTTGCCTCGGATGATGATTTAAAAATTTTGTCACATTTTCGTTTTAGGTTGTTGGTATTTTTTAATGAGCTTCTGACTGATCTGCACACACACACACTTTTGCGGTCACAAAATTCTTTTTTTTCCTGGCTTGGCCTTATTTAAACAACAGTAACTGGAGAGAGGAAGAGGATGGTGAGGGGCCATAGTGAGATTCATTGTTATGTTTAGTTGGTTGCTTGCTTGGCATTCAACATTCACTCTACCCACAGTCAGCCAGAAGCAGCTAATTACGTATTGAGAATGTGTTTTAATGATGTCCATGTTATCACGGTGATTTTTATGAATTCTTGTGGGAATATTCAGTTTGAACTCCAAAAATAAAAATAACTAGCAAACAGTCAGTTAAGCGAGCAAGCATCCAGCCAGCCAGTCAGGCCAGTGAGCGAGCAAGCGTCCAGTTCTTGATGTGTTGTTGCTTCATGGAAGCTTGTTAAAATTCCAAAATAAAATAAAACCAAAAATCCAAAGCCGACCAAAGCTCACTCCTGAGGCGGAGAGTCAACAGAAGATTTTGAAATTCTTTTTTGTTTTCAAGAACAACAACACTTAATAATTCAAAGGAAAACAATGAAAAGGAATCCTTGTCTCTTCAAGTGTTCACACAAAAGTGGGTGGAAACTGTACTGCCACCAACAATTTAAGATCATCACTCAAGATGCCATCTAATTAAAAAAAACGTTGGGAATTAATTAACAAACAAAACATAACAACAACAACAATACTTCAAGTGACTCCCAACATGTTGCAGCATATATTAACATACAAACTGCAGTGAGGGGGAGAAGTTTAATGTCGTTAGGAAAAATTACAAGGAGTGGTATTTCAACAGCACTTAGAAAATTTCGGAGAGAGGAGTTTTTTTAGGAGCCATAATCGTACAATAATCACCGACAAAATTTCTTACCAATTTGGACCATTTCGGAATAGATATAAAATTATCAACAAAATTCCATTCTATGTGGTTGGTCCAACTGGAAAAAATATTCTACATCGAATTTCTTCACTATAAGTCACCGAACAAGAGAAATCTGTAACTGTAATATATATCTGTAAAAATCGGTATAAATTTGGGTATAGTTAAAAAAATCGTCAATTGGTCGTAATATCATTATAGATTTGGTACAAAATTGTCCACAATGCCTTCTTTTAGGTGGTTGGTCCTAATGAAAAAAATATTCTGCATCGAATTTCACTATAAGTCACCGAACAAGAGAAATCTGTAGCTGTAATATATATCTGTAAAAGTCGGTTTGAATCTGGGTATATTAAACGAAGACAATTCGGGATAATTTTGTCGTTTTTTTGGAATTAGAATAAAATTGTGCTCAAAACTCAATTTTAGATGGTTAGTCATAATGGAAAAAATATTCTACATCGAATTTCATTATTGGTCACTGAATAAGAGAAATTTGTACATATAATATATAACAGTAAAACATCGCCTTTAATTTGGGTCTGTATAAATTTGGTCAAAATTCCTGTATTATTTTAGATTTGGTAAAAATAGTATACATGACTTTCTGTTAGGTGTTTGGTCCAAATGGAAAAAATATTCTACATCGAATTCCACTATAAGTCAGGGAACAAAATAAATCTGTAGCTATAACATATAACAGCAAAAAATCGTTTAAAATTAGGGTATGTGAAAATATGACAATTTGGTTTAATTTGGGCATTTTCTAGAATTGGTACAGAATTGCCCCCAAAA